TATATATGTATGTGTGTGTGTGTGTGTTTCCCACAGGATTTTGTGAGACTGGTGGGTGGACTGTGTACCTCTATGGCAGGGATGGACAGCCACTGTCCTGCAGAATTTTAGCTCCATCCCTAATTAAACACACCTGTAATTTTCAAGCAATCCTTTAGACTTTGGTTAGGTTTTTCAGGTATGTTTGTTTGGGGATTGAGCTAAACTCTGCAGGACAGTGGCCTCCAGGATGCTACACACATGTAGCATGAGTAGTTTTTTTTTTATTTCAATTTGATTGTAAAATTTCAACATCTGAAGCAAAAACTGCTTCACAACGTTTAAAGATTTTTTTAATGTTATAATGAGAATTTTAAATAAATTTTCAGCATATTATGAAACTGTGGCAGGACAAGGTAGTGCAGCCAACAAGACCTTTGAGTCCTTGGGAACTCATTCGAAACTGTTTAAAAGCATCCCAAGATATACCTCATAAAGTTGGTTGGTGGAAATTTCTAGAACTTAAAATATATAATGTAGCTTTGATTTAATAATGTTCATGTGACTACATAATTTGTCCATACTTCCATTACCTTTTTTCATAATTTTGTGGACTGGTATTATAAAATATGGAAATAGTGATGTGTGCAATTATCTGCGGGTTTCTCCACTACTTAAAAGGGGTCTGTATTAATATACATATAATATATTTTCTGCATTTCACCTAGATAATACACACATGCAACCTTCATTCGATGCCAATTACTCAACTTTATTTTTTTCCCCATTGCAGCAGTTTGTGAGTCTGACAGAGATCTTATACCAATTCCTTCTGGAACCCAAAGAGGTGAGTCAACGCTCTGAGATTACATCTCTGTAAAGCCATTTCTGTGTGTTAAATCATTGCAAGGAAATGCATGAAAGGATAAAAAATGTACCTTAAATGCAATACAATTCATTTTGTATAAAAGTGTCTGCAAATGCATGAACCAAACAAAAGAGTTAAAGGAATGGTTCACCCAAAACTGAAAATGTGCCTGAAAATGTACTCACACTTAGGCCATCCAAGATGTAGATGAGTTTGTCTCTTCATCATAACAGATTTTGATCAATTTAGCATTAAATCACTTGTTCACCAATTGATCCTCTGCAGTGAATGGGTGCTGTCAGAATAAGAGTCCAAACAGCTGATAAAAACATCATAGTAACCCACAAGTAATCCACAGCACTCCAGTCCATCAATTAATGTCTTGTGAAGTGAACAGCTCTGCAAGAAAACAAATGTTTGTAAGAAACAAATCCATCCTTTAGACATTTTTAACTTCAAACCATTGTTTCTGGCTAAAATACAAATCCTGTATCCATAATATTGTTTACTCCAGGGAAAATTTGTCTTGTCTGAATTAGGTACAAACCGGTAAAGAAAGACTGATTATGTGAATGTTTATTGTGATAACTTGTAAAATTGTGAAAATATGTAGTTAACAGGATTCACACACAAATAAAAGTTGCATATTGTGCTGCTTCCTCATCAGTCAGAGCGGTTCTTGCGTCAGCTGACGGAGTTTGCTGGAGAGAATGGGATGAGTGCAGGACCACTGAGGGCTCTGATGAAGAGTGTCCTCCTCCTACCTCATGGTAAATCCTTCAGGACCCTCATCTTGAACAAATCGAGCACCTTTATCTGAAATTTCACAAATGAATAATGCAGTCCCTTCCCTTGGTGATAACATCAAATGTAGTCGTTTAGCCTGACCCCTGCAGTGATCAAAACATGCTATGATCCTAATCTCACTGAGTGATTGTTCAGTTTATTTTACACCAAATTGCTGCATTATGCGTCTAGAGGATCCTAACATATGCAAATAACCCTTGTGGCAAATTGCCCCAGGGAATCTGGACCTAATGTCACATGTAGACTGGTCGACCCTACCAATCAGTATGCATTGGTATGCTGCTACATTTGCATGCAATGACTATCCTGCTGCCTGTGCTTTTAGACATAAGAATGAAGAGGAACGTATCAAATTACTAATCATACTGACGGGACAAAATGATGGGGAAAAAAGTGGTGGTGTAGAATAATATGTATCTGAGAAATCAGACAGATATGTAAAAAACGTATAGGCTGTATTTCAAAACCGAGTGAGCTGCCTACGTAGGTAGCACAAGTGTACTCTCTATGTAAAGACTGTTTCAAAAGGTATAAAAAAAAATAAAAAATCTGCATCTTTTTTTTAAGTTTTGCATCAATACATCATATGGTTAGTCATTTGAACGATCCATATAAATGTATTGTTACACCCCTATTTAATTGGTACATTATCAGAGTTCCATATCAGTTAGAGTGCTGCCTATTTAGTTCACTAGGCTTTGGAACAGAGATCTAATGTGCATATAGAAGCAATTTAAATGTCTTCTTTCCTTCTCAGGTGCTTTAAAAAGAAACCTAACAGCTGAACAGGTGAAGGCAGACTTGCTCTCATTAGGTACCATCTTTCCTCATACCCATCATCTGTACCCATTTGATTATATTTGTCATGAGTTAATATTTAACAGTGTGATCTACT